AAAGTTTCAAAAAATAAAACGCATTAATAAACATGTTTTCTGCCAAATTTCCCAAATTTGTAGAAGCAAATGCTAGTTATTGTAATTTCTAACTACGTAAAAATTACCGAATTTACTTGAAACCGGTAAAAGTTGGAACCGAAATTGATGGAAATTAGTCCTGATGTGGAAAAGGTATGGAGTAATTGCGACTTATGGAGGAAAATTGTGGAGCAAAGATTTACCGAAATGTGTTTTAAAAACTTACAATATTAAGGTTATTTACTACACCAGTTTTAGGTGAAGCTTAGAAAGCTTGAAAGTGTAGGTATTCGTCCTCAGAGATTCTAGCAGAGTTTTGGATGAACGAAACGTCGACAAAATAATTCAGTTAGTAGCGAAAAAACTGCAGCCCAAAATTTCCAGAAAATAAACCCAAAAACTGATTATTTAAAAAAAAATTAAAGGTAGAATTTCTTCCTGACGTTTCGCAAGCACGAGTGACTTGCATCTTCAGAAGTGGTTTGCTTCAACGCTTACACTGTTCTCATCAGAACCGTTCAGTTCTGCGGAAGAACTGAACGGGAACTGAAAATCGACTTAAAGGACTGATACGAGAGCCAGTATTTAATTTAGAAATAAAGTCGATTTGCGCCCCACGATCGGATTCGTTCTCCTTTGGCCGAGAAACCTGCTTTGTTTACGGCGATCCATCCTCTGAATTCTGCCCTTGAAATAAAAAAGTATGGAAGTGCCCCTCTCAGTCATATTTTCCGGGACGCTCTTCTTCAGAACATTAAAAAGCTTGTTCAATATAGAAATATCAATTTCTTGATTTTTTTCAATGCAGCGTTTTTGACAATTTCTAAATGCTTTCGAATACACATGGAGATTTGAGTCAAAATTCTGCATAGAACTATTTTTAACTGGAACTGAAAACATTTTACTCCGATAAGTAAATGATGAAAGGAACTGGAACGCGTTGAAAAGTGGAAGGTGATGGAATTGGATTTAATTCCATGAACTTTAGAATTAATCAAACAAAGCGATTGGTTTTCCAGTTTCAATTATCATCAGACTTATGGTTCTATTTTTGTTATAAAATCGCCTTGCTTTGTCTTTTTCCCATCTCTTTAATGTATTATTTATTCATTTAGTTCAATTGCTGTTTTCATCTGCTTCTCTGCACATTTTCAAACTCTCACTGCCTTACTTTTCTTGTGATCTTGGTATGTTTTTTCTCGCTTTGGTTTTGATGTTTTCACCTGTTATCCAGTTTATTTCAAATACCGCCCCATCATCCAAATTTGTTTCCTTGCCATCGTTTTATCCCATTTATGTTTTCAATTGCTGTCTTCTATCTGCTTTTCTGCACATTTTCCCTGATCTCGATGTCAATACGTTTGTTCGT